AGTTCTGAGTCATCGTTGCCCTCCCTCCCTTTGCTGGCTGGCTACCCTGCAGGGGAGCCCTCTCCCACCAAAGTCAGGGGCTCCGGCGCGAGGCCGTGCAGTGCCTGCCGCGTCCCTCGGGCTGCCAGTGAGGACGTTTTGAAGAGCTTCTCCGGCCTGCGTTCCACCACGGCTGGGGGTTGCTCCCTCATGCCAACCCGATGGTCACAGAATCCCAGAAGGGCTGAGGTTGGAAGGGACCTCTGGAGATCATCTAGTCCAACCCCCCTGCTCCAGCAGGGACACACAGAGCACGTGGCACAGGGTGGCATCCAGGCGGGTTTGGAAGATCTCCAGAGAAGGAGACTCCACAACCTCTCTGGGCAGCCTGTTCCAGGGCTCTGTCACCCTCACAGGAAAGAAGTTCTTCGTCACATGGAGATGGAACTGCCTGGGTTTCAACTTGTACCCATTGCCCCTTGTTCTAAAGGGGTCCTCAGGCAGGAGGGCAGGAACAATCACGAGGCAGAAGTAGCACAGCTGCCTTGGAGACGGTAAACTGAAGGCGCAAAAGGGCTGCACAGAGAAGACAAAGACACTGATTATATCACTTAGCCAAAGATCTGCAAGGAAAATGCCCTCCACACATACATGCTTCTTATCATTAAGTGCAGTAACCTGCAACAGCTAACTGCATAGTCTTTGGCAGCAGCTAATGAAAGGTTTATATGCATGGAGAAAATCTTCCAGCTAGGTGCCAGCTATTTCCACAGCCGGTATTTGAACAGGATTTGGATATTCTAAAGATCTTTTTCTGAAATCTCATGTGAAGCAATAGTTTTACAATGCTGACCTGTCAGATTCCTAGACAGAAAAGAAGGTGCTGCAGAAAGTTAAATTCCTTTATAGGTCTTCTCTTGCACATTCTGGGAAGGAACGAGAATTGCTGGGTAACCTGAAGGTATTTAATGCTGGGATGAAGCAGAAAAGTAACATGAAAAAAAAAAAGTGAAAATGTATTTGAAAGCAAAGAACTGAAAGAAAATAAGGTTGCTGTTCTTTATTCCATCCTTGACATGGATATGAAATGACTGTATTTGGTTGTTTATGGTCCTATGTATCATTCTTAGATGTAAATAACAGAGCACCAGAAACCGAGTCTGCAGCTTAGGCTGTATTAGACCACACACTTTAGTCACACCTGGACTAAATAACAGTTTTCTGGAGAATGTCATAAACCGCATGGCTCCTGAGTATCTCTGAGGTGGAGTACAGAGTGCAGAGGCAGCAGAGGGAGTCACAGGGCAAACTCGCCTATCGCTTCTTGCTTTTGTCACTGACCTCCTTCATGACCTTTTACTTCACATTGCTTCACCTTTCTCAACCATACAGCACATCTTTCTTTTTTTTTTTTTTTTTCCCCTACAGATATCACAGAGATGTTTGGGCAAAGCAGACTCCTCGCGTGGATCAGGTTTACCAGGCACCTCTGGGCCTAGAACTGAGCAGCAGCGGCGGCTGGGGATGTCGCGTCCTGGTGGCCTGGGCCCTGGGCCAGGTGGCCCCGGCCTATGAGATGTCGTGAGAGGCTGCGGCCTGGAGGCCGTAGATCCCTGAATTTACCTGCAGGAGCCTCCAGCCTTGTCGGGCAGGCTCCAGCACTTGCAGTTGTGCTGTTGAAGCTGATAGAAGTACAGGCTGTGGCCAAAGCAGGTTGTCCACCCACCACCTGCCAAATACAACTCCTGTATTGAGATGGATTGAGGCACTTACCCAGCTGAAAGCTAGGTTTTAAGTGATTGAGAGGGGATCTGATCAATATGTGCAAATACTTGAAGGGAGAATGTTAAGAGGATGGGGCCAAACTCTTCTTCATGGTGGCCAGTGACAGGACAAGGGGTAATGGGTACAAGTTGAAACACAGGAGGTTCCTTCTCCATGTGAGGAAGAACTTCTTTCCTGTGAGGGTGACAGAGCCCTGGAACAGGCTGCCCAGAGAGGTTGTGGAGTCTCCTTCTCTGGAGATCTTCCAAACCCGCCTGGATGCCACCCTGTGCCACGTGCTCTGGGTGTCCCTGCTGGAGCAGGGGGGTTAGACTAGATGGTCTCTAGAGGTCCCTTCCAACCTTTCTGTGATTCTGTGTAAGTATTTTGGATAGTTTTTAGCCGTGTTGTGACTTGGTGAAAACACCTGTGCTGGGACAGAGGAAAGAAGCAGTCTGATGTTTTTGGCAGGAGACTGTAGAGAGGTTATTTTCCATTTATCACAAAATGACATAACAAGCCCGATGTATTTAGGTTTATAGCAACAAATTTCTTGGAAATTCAATAGTCCTGTTATATTCACGTTTCCAGTTTTGAGTCTTTATCTTATGTTTTTTTGATATCTGAATCAGCCCTAATTAGTAAGTTAATTAAATTCCGAAGAACTGGTTAGTGAAATTCCCAAATGATCCTGAGTTTGGGCATATTGGAGGCAACAGTCAGTGCAGTGGATAATGTATAGGGTTTTGGAGGAATAATACATATTAGAGAATCTAACACTGGAAACCAAAACTCCTAACTAATACATCCAGGGAAAAAATAATTACAATATACTTATTGCATTGGACCAAAATAAGTCTCACAGAGATTAACAAATAGCTGCTGATTTCAACCGTTGCTGATTTGCAGCCCTCCACATTTTCCACTACAGCTTCAGAATCCTGCACATACAGGGTCACATTTCCCCTATTTATTGTAAAGCCAAATCCCACATCACAGACCAGGTAAATAAAAAAGTCTAAAGAGACTATTCTTGATGCATCATATTCATTTCAGAATACACCAGTGCTTGAGCAGTGTAGCTCTCGTGGAGACACTTTAAGAAAAGAATAACAGAAATGATGAAGGGTTTAAAACACGGACTTGAGAGCTCAGGTTGGATGTGTTTGAAATACGTGTACCATGGCTGAAAGTGACAATGAAAGCATGACATGAAATAGCTGCCTACAAGTATTGGTGTGTTAAACACAAGGAGAGAAGATGATGTGTTTATTGTGTTTAAAAAGCAAATCACTAAAAGCAGTAGGAAATGATTTTTTTAAAAAGAGAAGTTAAATTAA